CTTCCCTCTTCTATTTATTTCATAGGATGGTCTTTGTTAATTTGCCACTGGCCACACCTTCTTCTTTTTTGCAACACTGGTAATTCCCAGGCACCAGATTTCTTCAGTACCCTCTGGACCCCCAAACTCCTGCCCAAGTAAGATACTCTGACCCAGCCTGCCTGCTCTGGCCAGATCGCTTTTCTAAACACACCACACCATCCTGCCTGTCAAAGCGCACTGGACTCTGGCCCAGTCCCAGTCTTAGACGGTTGCTGGACAGTGGGCCGGCTAGTCTGATTAACTATACTGGAGCTGTGTTGGGGACTAATATTGGTAACAAAAGTAATTATTGCTCCTTCCCAAGCTTCCTCATTTGGCTCTGGCCCTGTGCTGAGTACTTTATTCACCTTACCTCCCTTCACCCTCACACAACACAACAACCTGCTTGTGTGTAAAAAAACCACTGAGATTCAAACAGGTTGTATATTGGCTAAGGTTGCGGGGTGGGGAGTGACGAAACTGGGATTCCAGTTCAGGGAGCTGGATGTCCAGGTGTCCTCTTTCACCTCATGCCCTGCTATGGCCCTAGTAACGGCTTACTGTGGACTCCTTTTCTATATTATTTCTATCTAACAATCATCAGCAGCACTTTAAATCCTATTTTAAGTGCTGGCCAATTCCAAATGCCATTTCAGACTGCCAGGGGTGAAATGGTTTTGGAAAAGGAGTCTGTCGAGGCCCCCATGGGCTCTGAGAATACAGAATTGTCTGTCAGGATTGAGAGTTGTTCTCCAGACGTCCACAGTGACTCTTGAATGTTCCCGATTCCAAAATCAATACCCACATGTCTATCACTCACATCAACCAAAATCGATAGTTCACCCTGGTAAAAGTGAATGGTTTTTTAAATCCAACCCCACATTCCCACTACCTGGTCCATCCCACTACCAAGAAACGGAAAAGGTAGCAATTTTGCATGTAAGATTGCATATTAGGCTCATAAATATGCAGAATTGTTACTTTTAGTGATGTTACCGATGATTTAATTCACTTTACTGTTACTAAAACATTTTCAGTGATCAGCTGGTCAAGAACTCATTACATGGTGTCCTGTCTCAGTTGGGTCCTGCGGAACTCAGTTCCTTGCTCAAATCCTAGTAGTTGTGAGCAGCGCTCATTGACAACTTAATGACCCAGTGGGATACCTGAGGGTGAGAAGAAATGGAGCAGAATTCAAAGAATTCCATGACTTTATTTGTGGGTTACTTTTCTTAACTAGGCAATGATGAAATCCTAGATGCCCTGAAAAAAAACACAAAAAAACAACAAAAAAAAACCCAACTAGCAATTATATCAGGGCACTGACAGATGAAGTTAATAATTTAGGTGAACACTGCATATTCTTTTCCTTTCCCACCCAGCCTTGTAATTTAATGAAATGGATAATGCCCCCTCCACCTTGGCTTATAATGCCTTTGAGTATCGTTTTATTGCTTCGGCACTATCTTTTATGGTTCAGGTAAAAGCCTTTCTTTCAGAAAAGAGAAACATTTGAAAAGTAAAAGCTCTGTCGCCCTGTTAGGGGGATCTTTGTTTTTCCAAGTTGGACTCTGGGGACCAGGGAAGCAGTTGCCGTAGGGGAGGACCTGTTGCCGCCACTTGCTTTTTCGGTTGTAAAGTCTTCCTTGCTCCTTCTCCCACTTGCCTGTTGCTGACGGCTGGTCCCATGGTGGAGCTCTGAGAACCATCCAGTGAGAATCCTGCCACCCACCCCTCCAACTTTGGAGCCAGGCAGCCTTATGCTGTTAGTATTATAATCCCACCTCTACCACTTACTGGCCAGGAAGCCCCAGTAAAGTTCCTTATTTATCTGAGCCTCATTTTTCCTCCCCTAAAGGGAGAGCAAACCTAACTTGCAGGATTACTGTGGGTATCACACGAAAGAGTGCCATGTAAGTATGCAGCAGCATGCCTGGAGCAGATGAAGCGGTCGGCAAATATGAGTTCCCACCTGTCAGCCCCTTCACCACAGAGAGCTGCTCTGAGCATGCGCGCAGGAGGGGTGATGGTGGGCCTGAGGTCACGAGAGTTCTTGGGCTATGACTAGGAGAGTGGAGCAGAGGGGATTGGCCATTTCCACACAACCTGGGATCTTTCATTTGATTTGACTCGCTTCATTCCAAAACTGGACAGGCAAAAGAAGAAGATACCAGTAAAATTCATCTTTTCTAAGGCTTTTTATTCTAGCACTGCATGAGGAGGCTCTTGCCATTTCAGAGAAGAGCAATCATGACTCCAAACGGCCATCATCCTGCCCATTTATCTCAGGGCCCATGTTGCCAGGGGAGCAGTGGCTCCAAAACAAAGCAATACTGAGAGATTTGTCCATTCTGAACGACTCATTTGACTTACATAGGCCAAGAGCTCGGTTTTCACATTGTTGAATAGCCTTTTTCCTTCACTAATTGGCTCTCCATCTTGTGAATGTGGCTGGGCAAAGAGGGTCACTCCCTCAGGCATGGGCTCTGCTTGGTTCTGCAATTTGTCTAGAAGCTTTCGTAAAACACTGAGCTACCCCAGCCTTCTGTTGAAGCCAATAAGTTTTTCAACAGCCTCTTTGTTAGTGTTTTTCCGCAATAATTTTGTCTGAGCTTGCTCAGGAGACATTCCAGGTCTACTCCTACGAGAGCGTTTTCCAGTTTCAGCATGTAGGGCGCTCAGTACATTGTCCTTAACCTCTCAGAATCCTTCATTCTTCAAATAACATGAGCAAAAGTGAATTTATGGCCCAGGGGTCCAGTTTGGTGCAAAGACGTAGCTTATGTTTTCTTTGAATTGCACACACAGTGTTTGTCCCCCCACGTTTTTATTATTCATAGAGCAAAGAAAAAGTATTTATAAGGGATCTTCCTGTACCCACCTTCTATATTCAGCCATTAACATTTATTCTGCTTGCCTTATTGCATATCTGTCAATCTATCACTCTAGCTGTATATCAATCCTTATTTTTGATGCATTTCAGAGTAATCTGCAGACATCAGTATACTTCCTCCTAAACACTTCAGAATGCTAGAGTTCAGTAAGTACACACATCTTAAGTATACATTCACTGAGTTTTGACATGTATGTATGCCTCTGTAACCCAAACCCCTATAAACAGAGTAGTAGCACCCCCAGAAAGTCTCGCCATGTCCCTCCTCAGTCAATCCCCATCTGCAGAAGCAATCCCTTTTCTGAATGTTTTCTACAATGGATTGGTTTTCTCTGTTCTAGAATGTCATCTAAATAGAATCCTTAGTATGTTCTTCTTTTGTATGAGACTTCTTTCACTCACTGTCCCGTTTCTGAGATTGATCTGTGTTGTTGCATGCATCAGTGGTTTGTTCCTTTTTATTGCTGAGTAACATTCCATTTTATTATCATCATGGTTCATCCATTCTCCTAAGGATGAACACTTGGTCTGTTTTAACACTTTGCTGGGCCGGGGCAGTGGTTGGGGGGGGCGCGGTGGGCAGTGGTGGTGGCTATTATGATAAAGCTGCTCAGAACAACACTAAGACTTTTTTATTCCTCTTGGATAAATACGTGGGACTTGAATTTATGGTCATCAAATAGATGTTATATTTATACATACAGATATATGTTTATAATAAATTGCCAAAACTCTCCCCAAAGTGATTGTATCATTTTCACTTCCACCAGCAATCCAGTAGCTCCAAATCCTGGCCAACATTTGATGTTATCAATCTTAGCCATTTGGTGTCATCTCATTTTGGTGACATTTTATTTTATTTTTTTTAAGATTTTATTTATTTATTTGACAGAGAGAGAGATCACAAGTAGGCAGAGAGGCAGGCAGAGAGAGGGGCAAGCAGCCTCCCTGCTGAGCAGAGACCCCGATGCGGGGCTTGATCCCAGGACCCTGAGATCATGACCTGAGCCAAAGGCAGAGGCCTAACCCACTGAGCCACCCAGGCGCCCCTCATTGTGGTGACACTTTAATTCACATTCCCCGACTAAGGATGTAGGGCACTTTTTTCCTTTTTTTTTTTTTAAAGATTTTATTTACTTATTTGACAGATCACAAGTAGGCAGAGAGGCAGGCAGAGAGCGAGGAGGAAGCAGGCTCCCCGCTGAGCAGAGAGCCTGATGCGGGGCTCGATCCCAGGACACTGGGATCATGACCTGAGCCGAAGGCAGAGGCTTTAACCCACTGGGCCACCCAGGTGCCCTGTAGGGCACTTTTTCAATACAGAATGGTTTTACTGAAAGTTTAATTAACATCATTTAAAAAAAATCTAGAGGCTTCATGTAAAAATCCAGATGTCCAGCTTTTCATGAAACCTCAAAGGACCTAGCAAGACTGAGCTCATATTCCCACGTGGGAACAATCAACAGAAGCTGAGTGGTGGCTGTCCCTTTAGGGCAGATGCGCTTTAGACCCCCAGAATCCTAACCCTTCCATAATTCCCCAACACATGGGCAAGCTATCAGTCACTATCTATCACATTTGCAGTTTTCCTTCCTGTTAAGAGGAAAGTGAACTATTTCTTGAGCCCATATTACTATCAATACTGAAAAAGTAAAAGTTAGATCTAAGAGGGCCTTATATTTCAAAATGGGAAGTCCACATTTCTTTGTGTGAATGAAAAAATATTCCAACAATGTTTAATATGTAAATTAAGTGGGTCTACTTTGAAAGATTACAATTTAGGGCTCTATAATGAAAATTGCCTGGCTTTACTCATTTTTATTATCTGCCTGGCTCCTTTAGGATTTTGAGTTTGTAACTCACATGATAGAACATTTACACTGATGAATTATGTCTCACGACTGCACTAACTGGTAATTATTTAGATATATAAAGAGATGTAATATCATGTCCTTTTCTCAAAAAAAGGAAAAAAAAAACTTGTGTAATATTTCATTCAGAGAACTTCATGTGTTATAAATGAGACTGAGACTAAAACAAATGGTTTCGCTTTCTGAAATTTCTATAATTCTGCTTTTAATTCCAGGATTGTAAGTGGAAAATGTATATGGAGATGGATGGGGATGAAATTGCAATAACCTATATCAAAGATGTGACATTCAACACTAACCTACCCGATGCAGAGATTTTAAAGATGACAAAGGTAGGGTTCTATTTACGGCTTAAAAGCTTTTTTGAATTCACAGATATCAAACAAAGACATTAAAATCCCCCAGCAGTGTGCTTTTGTGCTTGTCAACGTTCACATCAGCTCGGCCTCAAGCTGGCTGTTGAAAGGCACATTTTATTTAGCAGATTGAGATCATAATAGTTTTTTGTTAAAATCCCACTTATGCTGTGTGAACTAAAAAGTACTACCAAAAAAGTGTCCTTTAATTTTTTTAAAAAAATTTTCTTCCTTATTTCTTTACACTTACTCCATCACTTACTAAAGGAAAGAAAATGGCATCATGAAAATATTTACCTCAACTTTGGGGTCATTTTAAACTTTGAAAAACTTGGAAGGTGGAAAGCCTTCTTGGTTGTCTTCAATTTCTTGAAGGACCAAGGGGAGGTTAGTCATGAGGCATGTGTTGACGTCTTCTTGGCTTCTTTGAATTCACACCTCTGGCCAGAGAATACCTCAGTGGTAGAAGTACATGCATTAAAACACAGAAGACAGACTCAGAGAAATGCTTAGCTTCTCCTCAAAATGGGGGGAAAAAATCCAGTTCTGTGCCACTAATACTAAAAAAACACAGATGAGACTTCAATAGTAGAAGGTCAACAACTCAGGCAAATAACCATGATATCCACTGGACATTCACTCAAAACACATAAGCCATTCTTAAGTATACTATGAACAGTGTATTTGGTTTCAGTGAAGAAAAAATGGGGTTTGTAGCAAAGAAGAACCTGGGTGCAAACACAAGTGGGGAAGTGAAGAGCCTTCAAAGCCACAGCATTAGACTTGCAAATGTGTTCCGTCCTAAGCATAAGATTGCTAAGCATCCAAGTCCTTTAAATTTACAAGTATATTCATCAAGTCGATTGATTTGATATTCATTGTTGGAATCTTCTGAGTAACTAGGAGTTATTTCAGTGGTGTTATTCATCTGTAAAGGTTATGCTCTGGTTTTAACTTTCCCTGATTTTGTTGGGACATATTATGATGTCTTGAAGACCGGACAGATGCTTGCTCTATACCCCCCAATCTATGCCATTTAAAAGCAAGATCCTAGTCCTTGCCTGCTAACAGAAGGAATCTGCTCACAGCAAAAATGACAGGGTAGAGTTGTAAACCCAAATACAGGTGTTTCTGGTATAATGCCACATATGCACTCCCAAAGAAACACACCTTCTGCAACATCATATACCAATTTTAACTGGGGTTGTAGGAAAAATAGGATTGGGGCAGACCATTCAAAATCTGTAGAACTTTTTAACACCAACAGCACTAACAATCCTCATTTTAAAAAGAAAAGAAAAAAAAGAAGGCCCTGTTAAATCTCTACTGCATGTGCTTTGTACCCATCTCAAGCCCAGCTGGTCATTTGTAACCTTAAAGCTAGAATGAAGGGGTGGAGGGTGGTTAAGAGAGTGGAGATTCACTTACAATAAAGACCATTTTCATCAAAACTAAAATAGGATCCAAGGTGTCAGGGTGAAAATGTTTCCTTCTACCCCTCTAAGTTCTTTGGCTGATCTGCTAATTAAAGTGACCTAAGACAGATTAGCAGGAGAAGAATTTAATTTTGTACACACAGGGGCCCCAAAGATAGGAGACTCAAGGGCAGGTCAGGCAGTTGGGGCTTATGTGCCATCCTGAACTGAGGAATGAGCCAGGGGCCTGGGGCTTCAAAGGGGAGGAAGGCAATTCACAGGAAGATAAGAAAAGCAGATGTTTGATAATTAGAAGCTTGCCGAGCCATGCAGATAGGTCTTTTAGATAAAAAGTTATCTCTGATAATAGCTCTCTTTCTCGGCCAGGTGCCCTATCTAAATTCTTCTAGGCAGTTACAGGAGAGGTAAAAGTTTTCCTTGAGGCTGCTGGGTTTTGATGGCCTTTAGCTAAAAATACAATACATATGCCACAGCGACATGTTTTGGGGTGACATATTCTCCCCTGAAAGGCACAGGCTTCTTCATGAATCCTTTGTTTTAATACAGTGGGAGAAATGTCGCCACAGTTTCATCTGCACACACAGCCTGGCAGTGGAATAGCCAGAAACAGGGAAAAGCCGAGGAGTTGTGGAAGCCCCTAGCTCAGCTACTGCTTGCACTCAAGGAAGGCACATTGGGGTCTAAATTGTTAAGGCTTTCTCTTAAACATGAGAAAGCTTTCTACAGATACTGTAAAACATTAGCAGGAATAATGGCCTAATGATAGGATTGAGTGATATACCAGAGAAGAGAAGACTGTGGCACTAAGACTGTTTATAATTATAGAAAAAGAGGTCTTATGAAAACCAACATCCAAAATGTTAGCCTGTTGTGAGTCATCACATGTGAACAAACAACAGGACTTTCACGATAATCTGTCATTATGCTCTATTTGCCAATTGCATATGGCGCAGCTAGCCTCAAAGATACACGCTGTAGCAGGGCAGGCTCTACACCATCCTAACTTTTGTTTTTCAGCCCCCATTTGTAATGGAGAAGTGGACTGTAGGAATAATGGAAAATCAGACTGTAGAATGCACTGTCACCTATGAGGTAAGCTTGGTGTTGGGGAGGGGTGGGGTGCTGGTGGCTTTACCATCAGTTTCTCAGTGGGAATTTATTTGCTTCCTCCCAGGGCTTAAAATTGGAAGAGAAACTATTTAAGAAACATGAATATGGGAAGATTAACATAATTACTCTAACAAAATGTTGGTAGGCAAAGAGAACAGGATATTATCACCCGATAAAGATTCAGGGAGTAATTCATCCATTCGTCAGTTAATGATCGAACTTCTTCTACATGAGACATAACACGTTAGGAACTGGGGGAGACCAAACAGTGACCAAAACAGTGTTTTGCCTTCTTGGTGCATAGAGTTTAGGGGTGAGGATAGATGAATGATTCATCACAAGGATGGAGCACAACTTCTACCATCAACTGGCAGGCAGGAGATCGATCATCAAAAACAGATTCTATAGATTTTATATATAGAAAAATAGAAAAACTGACACTTAAAGAAAATATGCTATTAAAATTAAAATTTGGGACACCTGGGTGGCTCAGCTGTTAGGTGTCTGCCTTCAGCTCAGGTCATAATCCCAGGGTTTTGGGATAGAGCCCTGCATTGAGCTCCTTGTTCAGGGGGAGACCTGCTTTTCCCTCTCACAATACCCCTGCTTGTGTTTCCTCTATCTATGCCAAATAAATAAAATCTTTTTTTAAAAAAATTAAATTAGGGGCACCTGGGTGGCTCAATGGGTTGGGCCTCTGCCTTCGGCTCAGGTCATGATTTCAGGGCCCTCGGATTGAGCCCCGCATCAGGCTCTCTGCTCGGTGGGAAGCCTGCTTCCCCCTCTCTCTCTGCCTGCCTCTCTGCCTACTTATGATCTCTTTCTGTCAAATAAATAAAATCTTAAAAAAAATTAAATTAAAATTCATACATTTAGCAAATACCTACTGACAGTTACTATTCTAGGATTAGTATAGACTAAATCTGTATTCTCTCTTGAGGTTTATATTCCAGTGGGAGGAGACTGATAATAGGTAACAAATATGTAGAGAGTGGTAAGTGGTAACCAGAAAATAGTGAGACTTGGGACATAAGACTGGGTGGTTAGGGTAGGCCTTTCCTCTGAGGAGGAAGAGGCAGCAAGAAAAGGCAGCAGAGGAAGGCAAGCTCAAGGTCCTGAGGCACAGAGGACAATGACAAGGGGGTAGGCAGGTGGAGTCAGAGAGCTTCACAGGGTCACAGTGAGGAGTCTGGATTTACTAAAACACAACAGGAAGCCAGTGGGGTGTTTTAAGCACTCTACTGCTTAAAGTAACGTGATTACATTTTTAACATTAGCAATATCTTCATGGCTGGTGGGACACCCACTTTACAAGGTAGAAACCCTGCAGAAACACGGTGGAGGTGAAGAAGTAAGGCACAGAGTCTTGTCACACATGGATATATTAGCATGTATCTGCCCTCCAAAGGACATGTGTTTCATTCTTTCCCTCAGTTACTCATTCAGGAAACATTTCGTAAGGGTTCACCACGACCTAGGCACTATAACAGAAGCTTACACCTGTTTTCTCACATTAACCTTGCATCAGTACTGAGAGGCAGGCAGCATTAGCTTCATTCGGCAGCTAGGGAAAACTGGCTCAGAGAGATGGAAGAAGTCCTGCGGTTGGGGTAGTCAGTGACCATCAGTGGCGTCACAGCCGGGTTCTCTAACTGTGAATGCAGTTCCCGCTCTTCCCCAGTTGTCCTACTCGTTCCCTTCCCAGCAGTAAGATGAAGGAAATTGGTCTCAGATGGGACTCCATGCACTGCTGCGCTGTGACGGTCTTCTGAGTTGCCAGCTTGGCTTGGATTCGGCATTACAAATCCAAAGCCAGGCCACTCCTCTTGCCCGGGGTGACCTGATGCTGGAAAGTGACGAGCATCACAGCAGTTACTTATCCTCACCAGCCGACGAGCACAGCTTGTCAGGGAGGAGGTGCCTGAGAAACAGCAGTAATTGTCCAAATGTTGCCTGTAGGACACAAAACTTAATGAGAGCTGTTGATTGGACTCTAGGCTATTCTGGAATCTGTTGACCCATCCCCGCTGTGCAGGACAAGCCTTCTCTTTAGCAACTGGACAGTTCTAACAGCCAGATTTCATCTCTGCCTGCCTTAGTTGTAGAGACAAACCACACTCAATTCTTTTCTTCTTTTCTCTTTCTTCTCCTTCCTCCTCCTCCTCATGGTCTGTGATGATGTGCTACTTGTGTTTGTAATGGTCACTTCAGAGTTTTTTTAAACATATTTTCATAACCATAATGAAGCCTGAGAGGCTCTTGAACCTGATTCATGACACCTGGTGATGAAGGGTTTCAGAACGAGAAGGTGGTATGTCTTGGATCTGGTGTCCTCTCCTTTTTCTAGGCGCTATTCTTAACTCCCTGCCCTGTCTCACTTTTGCACCTGTTACCGTGCACTCTCCGTGGGGATAATTAGTCCACCACGCTGCCCACAGTCACCCAGTTACCCGGATGATCTGAGGCAGTTGTGGGCAAAATCGTGGTCAGATGTTTATGTTTTCAGACCTGTCTTCAAGTACCTTAAACAGAAGAAATCACTTTTTGTTTCTCGGTAAACAAAAAGGTAAGTTGAGATTTGCCAAATAGAATACATTCTGAGGGAAGACAACCACGTTTTGAACTACTCTGTAATCCACTAAGGACTAAAGTCGTTACATCATTGTACCATATTTAGGCCAAGTGTACAAATACCTCACGTAGGGCATTATGATAATAGTGTTCTAAGGAGTGAACTCAAATGACATGATAACCTGATTTTCTTTTCTTCCTATAAAATAAACATGAGCATTCGGTCATGAGTTTCTCTCTCTCTCTCTCTTTTTTATTTATCAGAGTGATGTCCGAGCTCCAAAGAGCACGAAGCATGTCCACTCAATTCAGTGGAGCCGAACGAAACCTCAGGATGAAGTGAAAGCTGTCCAACTTGCCATTCAGACATTACTCTCCAACTCAGAGGGCAACTCTAGAAGCAGGTCTGACTCAAGTAAGTTAGATGTGTGCTAGACTCCAAAAACTTGAATATCAAATTCTCATACCCGGGATAAGTGCCAGCCTGTGAATAGACATAGATTTCTAATATAAGACTTCCTTCTTTTATTTTTAGAATATTGGTTTTATAAACAGATGATATGCACCAGTAGTATTTATGGACTTATAAGTGAGCATATCACAAGAAATTTCAGTATTTGGATAACTATAATAAAAGATGAAAATTAATGATTATGTTATATTGGTAAATAAGAATATATATGTATATTTATACACATGCATAAATTTAGTTTCCAAAACTGTAGACAGCGATATGAATCTTGTGGGTCCAGCAAACATTCCTATGAAGCCAGTGGTATCATTGGGGCAATTTCTTGAGACCTGGACAGGACGGATACATCAGAGCAGAAGAATGATGGGGGAAGAGAAGGAAGAAGGAAGGGGAGGAGGAGAGGGAGAAAAAAAGGTAAGAAAGGATAGAGAAAAAGAAAACATGAAATGTGTATGATGGAGCATGGTGACACTAAATACAGATGCTATACTGAAACAGATTAGAAATTACATAGGGGAAGGCCAGCTGACTTGCTGTTAAATTGGTCATTATTTGGTAGATTCAGGGAAGAGGTCCTGACCTTCACCTTTGCAGGTCCAGAAACTCAGTACAACCCAGAGATAGGCTCTGCGGGACTACGACAAGCTGACAGACGCCTGAGAGTTGGATGCATAAACCCCCATGCAATTCATTTTTTACCACGAGAAATACACCTGCCAATGAACCAGAAGTACGTGTTTTCTGATCAGCGCATTGTTTTTCCCAATAAGAAAACACACCTGAAAAGCCACATCAGAAGGTTCTTTGGCGGCATGGAAAATAAAGTGCCCCTATGGCTAGGGTTGAGTTTTGAGAACCTAACTAAAGTGTCCTCTACTGTAGGACTAGCTTGTCAAGCGCACCGGGCCTTCTATGACCACCAGCCGGGGGCCCAGAAGCCTGGACAGTACTCACAACTCACCAATACATTTCTGACAGCACGCTGGACCTGCCTGCCTTTGTCAACACAGTTGATTTGGTTCTTTTCTTTCTCAATGAATCGTGAAAAGACATTCTGGCCACGATGACTGAACAGGAGTTTCTACCAAGCCTTCTCAGCCACAAAACACATTTTCACACACTCTTTAAGGCATGCTGTTTCTACACATGACTAACCCATGTAATAGGTGTTGAGTCTCCCCAGCACAGAACACTGCATATTTAAGTTCTTTTATTTGCTAATTCAACCATGATGTCGTGCATGTTTCCTATCATGCCTTTAAAAGGACTTCTTTTTATAATTAATGTCCCTCTCCCAGTGAAGTAACATTTGTAGGGCACATTTTACTTCTGTAGGGCTTTATTAGCCACGATCCTATTGGATCCCTACAACACTCTTGTGAAATCTGTGGGGGGGGGGTCTTCTGTCTCCACCTCTGCTGTATTTTTCTCTTTTACTAAAAGCTGGTTTTGTTTCCCAACCCACATGACACAAAGTAGGTGCCCTCTACCTCCAAGTTCACAGAGTTTGAATTCTACCACTTTGAGAATCACCAAATAGTTTATCAGTCCCAATTCCAGATTCCCCAGAGTAAGAACTGTTTGTTGTTTTTGTCCAAGCCTGGACCAATTTACTGTCAGCAGAAGGAGGTGGTGGTAGGTGGCAGTATCCCGTGGCGAGGTGGTGGGGGGGTGCAGGTGGTACACTAAACTGGCACCATGTGGGTGGAGACAAACTAGGGACATTCCCCAAAGAGGACAATGGGCAGAGGTCTAACAAGTGTCTTGTACCTCTCTGTAATCTAAGTCTTTTGGGAGAAAGCAAATTATTTCTCTAAGAGCATTAGGAATGGTCAATACACTTCAATTTCCTAGTGGAATGGCTTTGGCTCAACCTTTCCCTCTGATTATGATTAACAGGAGAGGTTGCAGGACAAAAGGAGAGAGTGACCTCCCTTTGGGAGGGATCCCCCATCTGGCTGCCTAGTTTTAGCTAGCTTGCCTCCCTTCCTTCTCCCTCCTATTTCTTTTTCCCTTTTGACATGCAAACTCAAAGGATACCACCTGGATCAGTTCGGGTATTATTTCTTAACAGAAAATTCAGCTTCCACTGACTTCCTCCCAAATGGACCAAAGTGTAATCCCAGGAACAGCCGTCTCAGGACCAATAGGAACTTGTTAGAAATGCAAATTCTCTTGGGGTGCCTGGGTGGCTCAATGGGTTAAGACCTCTGTCTTCGGCTCAGCATGATCTCAGGGTCCTGAGATCAAGCCCCATATCGGGGTCTCTGATTGGCAGGGAACCTGCTTCCCTTCCTCTCTCTCTACCTGCCTCTCTGCCTACTTGTGATCTCTGTCTGTCAAATAAATAATTTTAAAAAATTTAAAAACAAAAGGAAATGCAAATTCTCAAGCCCAACCACAGACCCCATGAGTCCCTACTGGGGTAGGGACAAGCCATGTAGGCATTCTAATGTGCTGAAACCATGGGTTTTAACTCTAATAAATTGTACTATCTTCTGTAGAAGTAGTCCAGAAGCAGGCTGGGCTCAGACGCAGTAAGAGCAGCTGGTTTGCCCACATTAAGGACAAGGAACAAACCTTTGCTTCTTTCCACTCAGCCCTTCTCAGTCTGTCGCCTTTGCCTGTGGCCCAGCTCCTCCACATTCATAGCCATCATGTAAAGATATGGCAATGGGCAGAGGACACGAGGGGCCGATGCCTTTCCTGCTCTCACACTGAAGGGTGACAAGGACTTGCCTACACACTCCCAGCAGATGATGTCTCAGGTTGCTCTGGCCAGAAACTAAGATGTGTGTCCACTCCTCCCGCACAACATCACTGCATCTGGCTCAGGTCAATCAAAGTCTGTCACTAGAGCCAGATTGTGTTCAGCCAGTGCACATGGCTCCATGAGGGGGTTGAACACTGAACAAAATCAGGGCTCTGTTAGAAGCTACAATTTCAGAGGAGTCAAGGGGAAGGCAAGAAGGCCCTGTGGTTGGGTGAGGCTGTGAGGAGTGTCTGGACACAGGTCACCGGCATCGGGACAAGTCACTCACCTCTGAGGTGTGGTCACCTGTGCAGGGCAGTGAGGGGGGCTGCTTGCTGGAGCGAGAAGTGGGCACACTCTGTTCCTCTCCAGAAGCTCCATGTGACAAGCATGGCAAGCATCGCTCAGGGAAGACCAGGAGGGAACTCAGGATGTGGGCAAGATGACTCAGGCCCTGCAGAAGGCAGAAGAGATCCCCAGGTGTGACTTGCTTTTTCAGGGAAATAGAGCTTACTGAATGGTTCCTCTTTATTGACCATTTTCTTTCATCTTCTCTTCCTGTTGGCCACAGAGCTTCATTTTTCATGGGGAAAAAAAACCCCAAAAACCAAAGAAACAAACAAAAAACCCATTTCTTATTCCTGAACCTCAGAATCTCTCCTCTGGAGATGTGAGCTGTCTTTCTTCCAGACAATCCCCAGCTGTCTCAACCACTGGAACCCAATTTCTTTCATCTGCATTTAGGGTTCTTGAGGGTTTATGAAAGTGCCTGCTGGCAAAAAACCTTTCGTTTACTGAACATGCCCCTACCATCCAAACACATGCAAACAGCAATTTCTAGAAGTGATGACATGGCTTAGCGGGAAGAAGATGGGATTTAGATGCAGAAGGACCTGGAATTATTAGCTGAGTGACCTTGGGCAAGTTACCAGACTTCCTAAGCTTCAGTCTCCTAGTTTACAGAGTTAGATCATTTGTACTTATCCTGAGACCTTGGGGAGGAGTGAACGAGATCACGTAAGTAAAGCCTCTGGAATGAGGCCAAGCCTATAGCACATACTCATTTAGTGCAAATGTCCTTATTTTTTAAGAAGTATTTATAATAATAAAGGAAATGTCCTTATACCTAGCCTAGAATTTCTATGAATGGTAAAGCTGGGAGCATCCCAAGGAGGCCTGAATTATCTTGAGACAGGATTATGAATTAGGCAGGCAGCTTTGCTGTGGCTTAAAAGAGGCTCATTTCCATTTCCTCTGCAGGTGCTGATCGCCAATGGCTGGACACTCTGAGGTTGCGGCAGATTGCATCCAATACTTCATTACAGCGTTCCCAGAGCAATCCCATTCTGGGGTCACAATTCTTCCCCTATTTCAATGACCAGGATTCCTATGCTGCTGCTGTAAGACGGACTCAGGTGCCCATTAAGTATCAACAGATTACACCCATAAACCAATCCAGAAGCTCCTCTCCTACTCAGTATGGACTGACCAAAAACTTCTCTTCTCTACATCTCAACTCTAGAGACAGTGGCTTTTCCAGTCTTCCAACTGACCGCTCTTTAGAGAGGGGTCGATACTCAGGTAGAAACAAGAACAAATATGATCGTGGGAGCGTATCACTCAATTCTTCTCCTAGGGGAAGGTACAGTGGGAAGAGTCCTCATTCCACACACTCGCAAGAAAGATATTCTGGAAAATTCTACAGTGTTTCTCAGTCGGCGCTCAATGCTCAGCAGTCACCTGACTTCAAGAGAAGCCCAAATGACTGCCATCGACCCAGGACCATACCCGGGATGCCTTTACACCCCGAGACTGACTTAAGAGCCAGTGAAGAGGAGACCAAAGTCAGTGAGGGAGGATGGACAAAGGTGGAATACCGGAAGAAACCTCACAGGCCCTCTCCTGCCAAGACTAACAGGGAAAGAAGCAGAGGAAACTACCGTGGAAGGAGAAACTTTTGATGAATTGAACTGCATGAGTTTTCCTAACTAGGCTCTTTTCTTTTTTTCTTTAAGATGTAATGGATTTTGATAATATGATACCTTCAGACAGAATTAACAAAAAGACAACTTTTCCATTTTGGGATTTAGGAAATGCCTTCTAATTGAGACTACAGCCAAACCAGAGCCAAAATGATGGTTGTTGGTTGCCCAGGGACGATAACTAGACGTAAACATAACTGTGAATATCCCCCCTCACCCCCAAATCAATATTTTGAGAGGATGGGATATATCACTTTATTTCCCTAACCACTGCCATTCTGGTTAGCAGGGTCTGGACTAGGGGGATTAAGTGGGGGTCCTTGTCTTGGGTGCAGAATTTATAGGGGACACCAGAAAGCTCAGTGATCAAGATACATAATATTCTAATGCAATATTTAAATAAATGAAAATTAATGCAAAAAATTCTATGATAAACAAAAAATCAGAATTCTCCATAAATACAGGATCAGTATTACTGATTTTTCCTCTTGTCTAAGGCTCCAGTATGGCTTAGCAAGGCGCTGTTACTGATCCTGTCTATTTAAAATTTTGATATTTTGTTCATCATGAATTTTTGCATTAATTTTCAAAATATTGCATTAAAATATCATTTATCTTGATTACTGAGGTGTTGGGGTTTCTTGTTTTTCCTGAGGCCTCCTTAAATTTTGTGCCTGAGGCAATTACCTCACTTGCCTTACCCTAGTCTTGACACTGCTAGCTGGTATTTATTTTAGTAAGGTATTTGGATTTTTATCATGGTCAGAGCTGAAGTGATTTGGCTTGTCATTTTTAGGCAATAAAAGAGTTATTGAACTTAATGTTGATTATGATGCTTATCTAGTTCATTAAGACTCATCAGAAACCAAAGATCTAAAATTGCCTAGGAAATTTGTGGTTACTGCTTCCCCAAAGCTCCTAGGGACTGCTTTTGAATATTATTTTCTACATTTTACCAAAGGAAAAGCAAAGAGGGAAAAACAACAGTCCATAAACACCTCCCGGAATGTTAGAAATCTAAAATATTAAAGAGAACAGACACAGAGCGGGATAAGAATGTCACAAGCCACAAGCCAAAGAAATTTAAAATTACCAACATCCTTGTTAGAGCAAAAGAGTAAATACCATCCTTGCAGCAAGAAAGCTCCAAGTAACTGGGGGCAGGGGTGGGGGGTGGGGCGTGAAGGGCACCTGCCTGCAGCTTAGGGCAGGAAGTGTGAGACCCAACTTATGAAATTCTTCCTATTTTACAAATCAAAAAAGTCAGGATGTCAGAAACTTATACATCAAATAAATAAATGTTATTTTTAATATATTCTGAGATTTTGTTCAATATTCACTAACCCTGAACATCAAGTGTCCTTTGCCCTGCACAGGATTCTCAATGCTCTGGAGAAATTCGAATGACACATTGGTAATTTCCATGGGGTTGAGTTCTCTTCAATAGAACCCAGTCATCAGACTTGAGCCCATGTTCCCAGAGGAGCTGCGGAGCTGTGATATGGTGCCTGGTGGGGAAAACCGTCTTTGGGAAGCATTAAAGTCAAGGTGATAGAAAATGACCTTTATTTACAAGGGAAGTTGTGACCTCAGCGTTGGTTTGACAACTCGGTTTTGTAAGTTGTAGTACATGTTTGCCATCTGCATTTATAAGCAAAAATGGTGGGGAGTGGTAAAATCAGGATGAGGAACTCACTACAGTCTGTTTTCAATTATTTTCTTCTTGTCCTTTGAGTTTAAATTTAAAAGCAAATGGACTAATAGAAAGTATGCTATCTTAATAGCATGCTCCTTCCAAATAGGCAATAAAATATTTTCAATGATTAGAATTTTTGGTTAGGTGCCTGAACACAGAACAGAGTCTTAATTGAATCACTCTAAAAGGAACACAAAGTATGGCTTTAATTATTAAACAAAACAGGCATTTTAGACTCTAGTGTAAAAAGTGTTATGCAAATGATTGCTTGTTACAGGCTGTTTTCTCCTCTTCTAGGTTTCTTAGGCTATGGGCTAGAGGATCCAGGCTGGTAGTGAAATGACCTAATGACCTCAGCCTAGTTAGCGTAGTAGCTGATCCCACAATGGTTATTCCAACAGCCCACAAAACTGACCACTTTGTAATATCTATTGAAAAAATACTTGTCAGCATCAGTGCTCCCAGTCAAAACCAGAATAAGAACATCAGGAATCTGTTTCTTGGTTGTAAAGCAAAAATAAGAGTTGTTTTTTTTTTTTTTTTCCTAATGATGTTTGTTCACCAAAAGTTGCTTGCCAGGTAGAAAGATAAATGTAAGTCAAGAACAGAGCAAGGATTAATAGGATTTTTTTCCCATCCAACTAAATCAGTTGCCAACAATGACAAACTATGGAACTTTGAGGAGACTGAAGTTAATTTAAAAAAAGGGGCGGGGGGGGGGACTGTGCCTGGGCGGCTCAGTTGGTTAGGCATTTCTCTTGGCTCTGGTCATGATCCCAGGATATCAGGATCAAATCCTGCATTGGGCTCCCTGCTCGGTGGGGATCCTGTTTTTCCCTATCCCTCTACCCCTCCCCCCACTCATGCTCTCTTTCTCTCTCTCTCAGATAAATAAAACCTTTATAAAATAACATAAAAAAAGGATATTTTAAAAGAAAAAATTACAGTAGAAACAAATTAAAGTCTGTCTTGACTTCGGCATCTCTAAAATGTGAGGATTCAGTGATCTTAAGTAGACTTTTTTTAAGATTTTATTTATTTATTTGACAGAGAGAGAGATCACAAGTAGGCAGAGAGACAGGCAGAGGGGGGGGGGAAGCAGGCTCCCCGCTGAGCAGAGAGCCCTATGCGGGGCTCAATCCCAGCACCCTGAGACCATGACCTGAGCCCAAGGCAGAGGCTTAACCCACTGAGCCACACAGGCGCCCCGTTAAGTAGACTTCTGATGGAATCCGGAACTGCTAAATCTATGTTGGTTGCTACCATAGAGATAGTCATTACTCCAGGCATAGCCCAAACAGAGCAAGATGCTTTGCAAAGTCACTGAATTAGCAATTCTATAGAACTAGCAATTCTAGAAATAGTCTGAGTCCTTTTTTTATTTAAGTAGGCTCTCCACTATGTGTGAATCCCAATGGGCGTGGAGGATGGGGCTTGAACTCAGGACCCTGAGATCATGACCTGAGCTGAGATCAAGAGTCAGATACTTAACCAACTGAGCTACCCAGGCACCTCCTCTATAGAAATAAGTCAGAATAATCAAGTAATCCCAAATCTGTAAGGGAAAACGAGATTATCGAGGACTACTTTAGAAATAAATATGAACTAGCAACTGCTTTCAACCAATAATCAGTTAGTTCATAATATAATAAAAATTGAACTGCAATATTTAATATTACTCATGGTAAAATTGAGAACAGTAAGATCTGACCTGGGGGGAAATTAGATTAAGAAAAAAAGGCCACAAAAGAATCCTTGCAGTGGCACAGTGATAATTGGTAAAATTTGGCATGAACAAGACAACCTTTCATATATAAATACTTCAGTGTAAAATTTAAATTGAAAAGAACTAGTCCCGTGGGGGGGGGAATCAATACAATAAAAAATTTAATATAAAAATGAGAAACAATTTTATTATGTTAGATAGAAAAATCAGGAAATTAAATTGACAATTCACCTCATGAAATTCTTGCAAAAAAAATTTCTCATTAGTTGTATAGTTCTGATAAAAAATATTTTATCCATATAGAGTCAAATGTCCTAGGGTTAAAACAGCAAAATCAAAATGTCCAGTCATTCCAAGTGGCAGAATCAAAACATCTCGGACGCAGCTTTGGGCATTCTGACTTCATGGAAACTTTTCCATTTCAGAAGTACCAACTATTTTATAAGTCTTATAAGTACATTCTCCATAATTCATCAGTTTGCCTCAACAAGTTGGTACAGATATGGCATGCTTCTGAAATTGGGCTGTCAGAAACCACTCAGTTATAGGATGTCATGAGTGGGTGGTGCCAACTTGTTCAGGATGGAGCCTCATTGAAATTTTAAATTATAGACACTGTTGTTAGGAGGCTTGTAAATCTCTTGCCACCACTGGCAAGAGATTGGCTTTGAGAAGCTTTGAGAAGCTACACATAGGCCAGGCTGCCCTGGGGAAGTCAGAACAGAAGACCTGGGTCTGCCATCTCTGTCTATCTGCTATTACTGAAATGGGTTTGTAAGATTCCAGAGGTGGAAGAAGTGCCAGACCCATGGTCCATCTTGCCAAGACTTTAGTGTAGCAGGCCCCAGTGACTGCTTGCTCAATTGCCCTTTCTCTTTGTTTACTGAGCTGGCTAAAGAATGCATGGCCGAATCAAGAGGGTCACAGAATGAAGACGACTTATGACCTCATAGTTCATTCATTCAAAACTAAAATCAAGATTTATCTCCAGAACCAATGATCCATATCCTCAACAGTGCCCCTAAAATGTTTTCCTTCCCACCTCCCGGAATCTCATGCAGGCCTCGAGATCCAGGAGACCTCCTGCTTCTCCCTCCACAGTTCCAGCCATTTTCCCCATTCTGTACCCCTCTTGCGGGCCTTTTATCACTCACTCCCTTGCACCATGACTTAACCCTTCAAACCCACTCCCCTGAAGGTCCTCTGTGAGAACAGTGCAGTACTGCTCAAGAATGTGTTGCTAGGGAAGCAACACTAACCTCCCAGGTTTAATCAATGGCCACAAATGGTGTAATATCCCTCAGGCCTGAAACACATGGCTGCAAATCAGACTGGAAAGAGCAGTAATCTGATGAGAACATGGAGTCTTTCAGAGGTGGTGGGAGGGTTAGGCGATAGGTGTGGAGACAGCCAGGGGTGGTCAGTCTTGGAAGGCCAGAAGAAGGTGACCCACAAAGGAATAAGGCTAGCCTTACTTACTATCCATGATAGGCCTTCACGCAGAGCGCAATGTGTCCAGATTGTGGAGACCCCTTAAGCATATCATCCAGCAGAGCCCCTTCCAAACTGACATGAGAGTCCACTCAGTTGGGGAAATCTGAACTTGCTGTGGAGATGGTCATATGGTCCCACTCCTGCTTACCTCTTCTGCATCACCAACTGCCACTCCCTGCAGCCATCAAATACTATGCCACAGCCACACTGAACTGCTCCCACGTTCCCTCTTGTCTTCAAAATGTTTAATCCCTCCATCCAGCTTCCCCCACACTGCGTCATCCTTTCGCTCCCTGATAAGACATCACTGCCTCGAGGAAACCTCAGATCCCCAGGTCTGGGTAAGGCCCTTCCCTATGAGAACCTTTTGGTTACTCAATTATATGGATCCCCCCCTGTTATAATTGTCCCCAAATTTGATTATCTGGATTCCTTACTAGACTATCAGCTCTATGAAGGCAGGGACTGCGCCTATCTTGATTACCAGTCTATCTCCAACATGTAGTTGGTACTCGGTCTATTTGCTGAATGAATGCATTAATTGACTAGTCTCTTAATCAGGCTAACAAACTATTACATCATCTAAATTCTTGTTCTAATCCTACGCTCATTAAGTGACCTTAACAGGAGTCTCCAGCCCACTTTGGAGTTGTATTTCTGGTATTAAAGTAATTGCCATTCTGACTTTATACATCAGTCTTTTGTGAGCTTTGCCAGTGTGAGTTGGTCCCCAAGAATAACTCTGTGACACTGATCAAATTTGGGGCTTATCACTGACAGCAGACTGTGGATATGCCAAGTCACCCAAGGAAAAGGTCAGTTCTCAAGAAGCAGCTCTTTGTATCGTAGTGAACTTCCCATACTTTCCATTTTGAATTTCCAGAGTATAGCACTATAAACACAGG